GGGTTAGGACTTCAACATATAAATTTTAGCGAGAAACAAACATTCACTTAATGATAGTCATAAAGGCTAGTATAATAATATTTATAGAGCCTTTGATATTTTATTTAACATATCTTTTATGTAGTGCTTATTCCAAGCAAAATATTGTGTTTTATAAATATCAACCCATTCAATACTTCCAATTGCCCCAGGAAGTAGTTACTATCTAGATCCCCAAATTTGCATATGAGGAAAACTCAGATACAGAAAAATTGAAAAAGCTGGGCTCGGTGACTCAGCCTGTAATCCCGCACCTTTGGGAGGCTGAGGTGAGTGGATTGCCTGAGCCCGCGGGTTCGAGACCCACCTGGGCAGGCGAGACCTCATCTCTACAATAAATCAAAAAATCAGCCGGGCGTGGTAGCGCATGCCTGTAACTCAGGCTACTCAGAAGGTTGAGGGGGAAGGATTGCCAGAGCCCAGCAGGTTGAGCCTGTGGTGGCCGGGAGCAGCCGCTACACTCCAGTCTGGGCGACAGAGTGAGATTCCAACTCAAAAAAAAAAAAAAAGAAAAAGAAAAAGAAAATTTGAATAATTTTCCCCCCAATAGTGAGTAGTGATGTAAACCAGCCAAACACTTCACAGAAAAGAAACACAGACATCCTTCAGGGTCCCTGGGGGATTTGTTCCAGAGCCCTGCAGATACCAAAATCCATGGATACTCAAGTCCCTGATATAAAATGACATCATATTTGCATATAACCGACATACATCTTCCTGTATACTTTTAGTCATCTCTAGATTACTTATAATACCCAATAAAATGTAAATACTATGTAAATCGTTCCTATACTATACATTTATTTGTATCGTTTTTATTGCTTTTTTTAATTGTGTGTTCAGTTTCAAATATTTTCAAACCAGGGTTGTTGAACCCAAATACGGAGCTCACAGCTATGGAGGACTGACTGTAAATTCAGGGGATCAAGCTCTTTTCTGACTCATATCGTACTTCAATGCATGCTTCCCTTGTCACCATGGAAGGCAGAAGAATGTGAGAGGTTCTGTGGACCAGAGCTGGCTTCTTCCCAATTCCAAAGGTTGAACCCAGTCACATGGCCACACCTCCCTGCAAGGACTCTGGGAAAGGCAATCCAGCTGTATGTCCATGAAGAAAAGAAAAAGAGATTTCCGTGAACAACTAGCAATCTCTTCTAATAAAGAGGAAGACCCCATAAGTGACATAAAATATTCTCAACTTATTTGGAGAAAATAATCCAATTTTTATATTTGTTTCTTTTGTTGTTGTTGTTTGTTTGGTTTTTTGAGTTGGAGTCTCCCTCTGTTGTCCAGGCTGGAGTGCAGTGGCATGCTCCCGGCCACCCCAGTGTCGACCTGCTGGGCTCCAGTGATCCTTTGCCTCAGCCTTCCAAGTAGCCAGAACTACAGGCGCACACTACCACGTCTGACTGATTTTTGGTTTATTGTAGAGACGAGGTCTTGCCATGTTGCCTGGGCTGGTCTCAAACCCGCGGGCACAGGCAATCCACTTGCCTCGGCCTCCCAAAGTGCTGGGATTACAGGCTTAGCCATAAAGCCCGGCCTATATTTGGCTTTTTTAAAAATTAAACATCCAGGAGGGCTAAATGACAATAAGTGGTGAATTTATTTTAGCAAAATTGCATTTTCTGAGGAGCCACATGTTACAATACAGAATCCACAGCATTTACTGCTGGTGCCTGTGCCATGGCTAGCAATCTGTAAAAGCAATGAACTTTCCTTTCCTTTTTCTTCCTTTTGCTTAGGCACCCCTATTCTTTCCCTCTGAGCCTCATTTCCTCCTCTCCCATCACTTTCATTTTCACTTTTTTGTGATTCCACTCTGACCTTTTCTCTGTGAATGAGTGAGGTCACCGCAGGCCTCACTAGCCTCCCCTCACTTCAGTGGCCCTAGAATCAAAGGCTAAAGATGCTGGCACAGTGGCTCACATCTATAATCCCAGCACTTTGGGAGGCTGAGGTGAGAAGATTATCTTAGTTCGAGACCCACCTGGGCAACTTGGCAAGATCTCATCTCTACAATAAATCAAAAAATTAGCCGGGCATGGTGGCACACACCTGTAGTCCCAACTAATGGAAGGCTGAGGTGGAAGGATCGCCTGAGTCTAGTAGGTCAAGGCTGCGGTGGCTGTGAGTGTGCCACTGCACTCCAACCTGGGTGATAGAGTGAGACTCCAACTGAAAAAATAAAAAAATAAAGATGCTGTTTCCTGGAGCAGAGAGAGGACTGGAGGCAGACAATGCCCAACTTGTACCAACCCCAGCAACTTTCCAGCTCTAGTTGACCTGGGACACTTTGTTACTCTGGACCTCAGTTTCCCCACTGATTAAAGCCCAAGTTTATATAGGCATACCTTGGAGATATTGTAGGTTTGGTTCTAGACCACTATGGTAGCAAATATCACAAGAAAGTAAGTCACACAAAGTTTGTGGTTTTCAAGTTTATACTACATATTATAACCTATTAAGCATTCAATAGCATTATGTCTAAAAAACCCCACAATCTATATACATTAATTTTAAAAAATACTTAGCTACTAAAAAGTGCGATCATCTGAGCCTTCAGTATGTCATAATATTTTTGCTGGCAGAGGGTCTTGCCTCAATATCAATAGCTACTGACTGATCAAGGTGGCACTTGCTAAAGGTTGTGATGGCTGTGGCAATTTCTTAAAGTAAGACAACAATGAAGTTTGCCACATCGATGGACTTTTCCTTTCATGAAAGATGTCTCTGCAGCATGTGATGCAGCTTGGTAGCATTTTTTTTCCCTTTGGAGAGTCACTCCAGGCTGAAGTGCAGTGGCATTTTCATGGCCACCCCAGCATCAACCTGCTGGGCTCCAGCGATCGTTCCACCTCAGCCTTCCAAGTAGCTTGAACTACAGGCGTATGCTACCATACTGGCTAATTTTTTTTAATTGTAGAGACGAGGTCCCACCATGTTGCCTGGGCTGGTCTCAAACCCGCAGGCTCAGGCAATCCACTTGCTTCGGTCTCCCAAAGTGCTGGGATTATAGGCTGAACCACCAAGCCCGGTTAGATAACATTTTATATAAAGTCGAACTTTCAAAATTGGAGTCAGTCCTCTTAAGCTCTGCCACTATTTTATCAGCTAAGTTTATGTAATATTCTAAGTCTTTTGTTGTCATTGCAACAATGTTCACAGCATCTTCACCAGAAGTCAATTTCATCTCAAGCAATAGCTATCTTTGCTCATAAGAAGCAACTCCTTATTCACTCAAGTTTATTCATGAGATTGCATCAATTCAGTCCCATCTTCAGGCTCTACTTATAATTCTAGTTCTCTTGCTATTTCCATCACATCTGCAGTTACTTCTTCCACTGAAGTCTTGAATCCCTCAAAGTAATTCATGAGAGTTGAAATCAAACTCTTCCAAATTCCTATCAGTGTTGATATTTTGACTTCATCACATGACTCATAAATGTTCTTAATGACATCTGGAATGGTGAATCTTCTTCAGAAGGTTTGCAATGTATTTTGCCCAGATCCATCACAGGAATCATTATCTATGGTAGCTATGGCCTTGTGAAATGTATTTCTTAAGTAGTAAGACTTGGAAGTCGAATTACTTCTTGATGCATGAGCTACAGAATTATGTGTTACCAGGCATGAAAACAATATTAATCTCCTTGTATGTCTGTATCAGAACTCTTGGGTGATCAGGTGCACTATCGATGAGCAGTAATATTTCAAAAGGACATTTTTTTTTCCTGAGCAGTAGGTCTCAACAGTGGGCTTAAAATATTCACCAAATCATGCTGTCAGCAGATGTGATGTCATCTAGACTCGGTTGTTCCACTTATAGAGCACAGGCAGAGTAGATTTAGCATAATCCTTAAAGGCCTTGGGATTTTCAAAATGGCAAATGAGCATTGACTTCAACTTCAAGTCACCAGCTGCATTAGAGTCAGCCTAACAAAAGAGGCTGCCTGTCCTTTGAAGATTTGAAACCAGGCATTCAGTGCTCCTCTCCAGCTATGAACACCCTAGATGATATCTTCTTCCAATAGAAGGCTGTTTTGTCTACATTGAAAATCTGCTGTTTAGTGTAGCCACCTTCTTCAAGAATCTTAGCTAGATCTTCTGGATAAACTGATGCAGATTCTCCATCAGCACTTGCTGATTCATCTTGTACTTGTACATTACAGAGATGGCTTCTGACCCTAAACCTCATAAACCAACTTTTGCTAGCTTTTTTTCTGCAGCTTCCTCTTCTCTCTTCACCTTCACCGAATTGAAGAGGTTTAGGGTTAGAGCCTTGCTCTGAATTAGGCTTTGGTTTAAGGGAAGCTGTTGACTAGTTTGATCGTCTATACGAATTACTAAAACTTGCTCCAAATCAGCAATAATGCCATTTTGTTTTTTTTTATAATTTGTGCAGAACTTTTAATTTCCTTCAGGAACTTCTCCTTTGCATTTACAACTTGGCTAACTGTTTGGTACAAAAAGCCTGGCTTTCAGCCTGTCTCAGCTTTTTGACATGCCTTCCTCACTAAGCTTAATCATTTCCAGCTTTTGATTTAAAGTGAGAGATGAGTGATTCTTCTTTTCACTTGAACACTTAGAGGTCATTGTAGGATTACTATCTGACTCAATTTCAATATTGTTGTATATCAGGAAATAGGGAAACTCCAGGAAAGGAAGAGAGAAGAAAGAACGATGGACAGGTCAATGGAGCAGTCAGAATATGCACAACATTTATCAATCAATTAAACTTGCCGTTTTAAGTGAATATAGTTCATGGTGTCTCAAAACGGTCACAATAGTAACATCCAAGATCATTCATCACGGATCACCATAAGAGAGCGATGATGAAAAATTTTGAAATATGCAAGAATCATCAAGTGACACAAGGACATGAAGTGAGCACATGCTGTTGGAAAATGGTACCAAGGAGGAAGAGGAGGAGGGGGAGGAGGAGGAAGTTGTCAGCCGGCAATGGTGCTGCCCTGGCTGCCACTGGGGACTGTGCACAGGGCAGTCATCGGATCCATGGAGGCTGTGCTCTGTGGTTTGAAGTCAATAAAGAGAAGCTGCCACAATTTTTGTACTGCTATTTCTAGAGATGTCACTTATAAGGAAATGAAAAACCTGCTGAATTTCAAAAGCATTATGTTAATTGGCGTTCGAGAGACATGGGAAGTCCTTGAGTATGGAAAAATCCCCAGGTCTGTCAATATCCCATTGGACGAAGTGGGCAAAGCTCTACAGATGAACCCAGAAGACTTCAAAGAGAAGTACCATGAAGTAATGCCATCCAAAACTGACAATCTAGTGTTTTCTTGTTTAGCTGGAGTGAGAAGCAAGAAGGCGCTGGACACAGCAGTATCTCTGGGCTTTCACAGTGCTCAACACTATGCTGGAGGATGGAAGGAATGGGTAACCTATGACTTTTCAGAGAAGAAACAAGGAAATTGAATTCTGGAATACAAGTTGCATTTTTCCTTGCATATATGCAGCCTAGGTGACTGGAGTGAGCAAAAGAATAAAAATCTAGTCCTGGTAACTTTGAACCTTTTTCTCATCTGCAAATTGAGAATACCACTCTTCCCTCCCTACTTTCAAAGGCTGTTGAGGATTGAGATAATGTATGTGACTTGCCATGGAAATATAAGGGCTGAGACTCTAGAAATTAATTTATAAGTAGTTTAGTATAGTTCAATAGTATTTCAAAAGACCAAGTTACTTGTATTAACCAATAACGTATGGCCATTTGTGTTAGTATAGTTTCTATTCATCAAAGAGGCTATGAGCTAGACATATAGATTAACAAGCACACTTGATCTTAATAAAATCAAGAATCTGGGATCCAGAAGAGGAGGTAAACTTTGAACAATGAAAATACGTTAACACCCTCCAAAGACTTATGGCAGTTGTATGACCAGCATGGCAGTGATATTTGTATGGCAGTGATATGTGCAATTTAAAAAAATAAAATTAGTATGATTAATATAGGGACAGAAATCGGAACAATGGTTGCTTTTCTGAAGATTAACTGGAAGAGGCAAGGAGGGAACTTTCTAGGGTGATGGAAATGTTCTATATCTTGGCTGAGGAGTTATTGGTACATAGGTATACAGATTTGTCAATACTCATTGAAGTAAACACTTAAAAATGTATGTTTTCTATATGTAACTGTACCTCAATTAAAAAACAATAAAAATAGAAAAGGAAAAAAAAAGAAAATGGCGCCAATAAACTTGCTCCATGCAGGTTTTCGCAAACCTTCAATTCCTAAAAACTGTAATATCTGCAATGTGCAATAAAGCAGAGTGCAATAAAATGAGGTATGCCTGTACTTGATGATGTTATTGAGTTTGAGGGAAGAGGAACCTCATATGGAGTGATATGAGCTATTTCAGAGGACTGAGGGATAAAAACTAAGCATGGTGTCCATGGTTTTTAAGAGTCTGCCTTGGCCAGGCTTGGTGGCTCAGCCTGTAATCCCAGCACTTTGGGAGGCTGAGGCGAATGGACTGCCTGAGCCCACGGGTTTGAGACCCACTCAGGCAACTTGGCAAGACCTCATCTCTACAATATAATAAAAAATCAGCCAGGCATGGTAGCACGCACCTGTAGTTCCAGCTACTTGGAAGGCTGAGGCAAAAGGATCGATGGAGCCCAGCAGGTTGAGGCTGCAGTGGCTGGGAGCATGCCACTGCACTCCATTCTGGGCAACAGAGTGAGACTCCAACTAAAAAAAAAAAAAGAGAGAGTCTGCCTCAGCCAGGCTCGGTGGCTCAGCCTGTAACCCCAGCACTTTGGGAGGTCGAGAGAAGTGGATTTCCTGAGCCCACGGGTTTGAGACCAACCTGGGCAATTTGGCAAGATCTCATCTCTACAAGAAAAAAAAAAAAAAAAAATAGCCGAGCCTGGTAGCGTGTACCTGCAGTTCCGACTACTCGGAAGGCAGAGGCAGAAGGATCACCAAAGCCCAGCAGGTCGATGCTAGTGTGGCTGAGACTCCAATTCAATTTAAAAAAAGAAAAAGAGCGGGACTCGGTGGCTCAGCCTGTAATCCCGTGCCTTTGGGAGGCTGAGGTGAGTGAATTTTCTGAGCCCGCGGGTTTGAGACCCACCTGGGCAGCTTGGCAAGACCTCATCTCTACAATAAATCAAAAAAATTAGCCGGGTGTGGTAGTGCGCACCTGTAGTTCCAGCTACTGGAAAGGCTGAGGCAGAAGGATCGCTGGAGCCCAGCAGGTCGAGGCTGCGGTGGCCGGGAGCATGCCACTGCCCTCCAGCCTGGGCAGCAGAGTGAGACTCCAACTCAAAAAAGAAAAGAGTCGCCTGACCCCAAGGAAGTTGGCAGAAGAAAGAAAGGACTCAGAATGTGCAAGTCTTGATAGTACTGGCATAAAAATAGACCAGTGGCAGGCACAGAATAAAGAGCCCCAAACTCAATCCAAAAATATATGGTCCATTAATTTTTCACAAGGACATTAAGGGAACACAATGGGGAAAGGACAGTCTCTTCAATAAATGGTGCTGAGAACACTGGATTTCCACATGCAAAAGAATGGAATTGGGCCCTTATCTTATACCATACCCAAAAATCAAGTCAACATGGATAAAAGACCTATGTGTAAGACCCCAAACCATAACATTTCTAGAAGAAAACATAGGGAACAAACTGCTAGACATTGGCCTTGGCAATAATTTTTTTTAAAATATTGCACCAAAAGTTCAGGCTAGCAAAGCAAAAATCAATAAACAAGACTACATCAAACTAAAAAGATTCTGCACAACAAAGAAAACAATCAACACAATGAAAAAGTAACTTACTTCTCCTAGATTAGGGAAAAAGTTTTGCAAACCACATATCTGATAAAGGGTTAATATCCAAAATTTATAAAGAATGCTTACAACTCAAGAACAGAAAAACAGATACCTGATTAAAAGATGAGCAAAGGACCTGAATAGACATTTCTCCAAAGAAGACATAAAAATGTTCAACAGGGCCAGGTGCAGTGGCTCATGTCTGTAATCTCATCACTTTGGAAGGTTGAGGTGGGAGGGTTGCTTGAAGCCACGAGTTTGAGACCAACATAGGCAACATAGCATTCTCTACAAAAAATCAAAAAATTAACTGAGATGGTGGCATGTGCCTGTGGTCCCAGCTACTTGGGAGAAACAGAAAGATTACCTCAGACAAAGAAGTTGCCTCAGTCAAAGAAGTTGAGGTTACAGTGAGCTCATCACCAAGGAAATGCAAAGTAAAGTCACTATGAAATATCACCCCACACCTGTTAGGATGGCTATTATTTTTAAAAAGATAAAGAATAGCTAATATTAATGAGAATGTGGAGAAGAGGGAACACTAGTACAATGTCAGTGTGAAAACAGATTGGTACAGCCATTATGGAAAACAACATGGAGCTTCCTAAAGAAATTAAATATAGAACTACCACATAATCCAATGATTCTTCTTCTGGATATATATGCAAAGGAGATGAAATCTTCACATCATAAAGATATTTACACTCCCATTTTTATTGCAGCATTATTCATGATAGCCAAGAGTTGGAAACAACCTAAGTGTCCATTGGCAGACAGATGGATACAGAAAATAACATTCTATTTTATACACATACAATTGTATACACATACACATACAATGGAATATTATTTAGCCTTTAAAAAGAAAGAGATCATGTCATTTGCCACAACCTGGGAGAACCTGGAGGACATTATGCTAAGTGAAATAAGCCAGACACAGAAAGAAGAATACTGCATGATCTCACACTTTTATGTGGATTTTTTTTTTTTTTTAAAAACCAACAAATATACAGAGATAGAGAATAAAACATTTGTTACCAGGAGTAAAGGGTGAGGAAGAAATAGGGAGATGCAGGCCAAAGGATACAATGTAGCAGGTATATAGGATGAACAAGTCTGGAGAGCTAATGCAGAACATGAGGACAATAGTTAATAAAATTGGATTTGGGATTTTTGCTAAACAAGTAGATTTTAGCTGATTTTGTTACAAAAAAGATGAGATGATAGATATGTGAATTTGCTTCACTGTAGTAACCATTATACTATTTATATTTATCTCATAACATTAAATCATACATCTCAAATATACACAGTAAAATTTATTTTAAACAAAAGCATAAGCAAGTCATAGAGAAGTGGTTGAACTCCTCTCCCCAACATACACACACAGACACTCCAAAGCAGACCAAAGCACACAGCCTGGGCTGAGGAAGGGATGAGATCCTAAGGTTAGATGTTAGGACAAGAGTCACTCACTCCAGTTCTACATGTCCAGATAGTACCTAATTTATCAGGCTGGCCAATGGGGTCACCAGGGAACTGAGGGGCACATGCCAGCTTAGCCCCATAGTGACCCTGCACGATCAGCTAAAATCTACTTATTTACCAAAAACCCCAAATCTAATTTTATTAACTATTGTCCTCGTGTTCTACATTATATCTCCAGACTTGCTCCTCCTGTAGATCGGCTACTTGGTATTCTTCCTCCTACCCTGCAAGAATTTGGGGCCACTGGTGTCAGATAAGACTCTTTTTCAAAAGAAATGAAATCTTGGGACTCTTTTCATTCTAAAATGTTGATACGTATTTTTGCAACTTTAAAAAAATACTACAAGTCAAACAAAACATGCACGAGGGCCAAGTTGACCTCAGGTGTACAGTTTGTGACTTGAGACTAGATCCACATGGCACAGTCATCTAGAGAGAATTGTCCCTGTCAAATCAAGAGTCCCACAGCCTTCCCTTAGGGCACTTTTCCACACAGGCACAGGTATTCTTTATTTGCTGGGAGGGCTGATACTTTGGAACTCAATACACATTAGCTAACAAGGAGGAAGATAACGTGGTGATGGATTGCTGCTGGTGCCAGGTTTTCATCATGAGAGATGATGTCCTCAGTGTGCAAAGTTGCTGCCTCATTACCATAGAATTAACATGCCGCTGGGGCTCCTGCCGCCTTCATACCCGGCTCAGGAGAGATGCTGCGGAGCTGCCTGGTGTCACCCGAAGGGCGTCAGCACCACTGTGTGGCCAGGTCTTGCAGCTCTGCACTGGGTTCTGGAATAAATCAGAGCCCGGAAGTCCTGTGATTTTCTGAAGTTGCATTGCTGACAATTGAACTGAATGAAACATACACGTAGCTTGATATTTATACAAATCTTGTGGGGAATCCTTTTGTAAGTCGAAGAATCTTTTGGGAAGGTGGTAGCCCATGCCCCAGTTTGAATGTCCTCAATTCTTGTTTACATTCAAAATTAAGAGGTCCACATCTCCTGAAATTAAGGCTCACGTCAAACAATCTCAGACAAGAATACTTGAGAGGTCGTATGTGACTTTGATTCAGGAGTGGGGATCTCCTTCACCAATAACCCCATGACCCTCAGGATGCAGTTAGGGAAAGAAAATTCAGAACAATACAC